GTGAGGTCTGCTGGAGCTGGGAAAAAACCTATTTTTGTAGGTTTTTTCGGGCAACCCAATGATTCCGGCCATGAAAGCCTTCGACAATACTATGTATTTGTTTATTTGTGTTATGGAAACCTTGTTACTTCAAATAGTGAACACAAAATCATCATAATCTTTGTCATGAGAATCAGAAGAAGAACACTAACAACAATTCTTGTGATTCTCAATCAGAAAGGTCTCCTCTAACTTTTTGTGCATGGAAGAAGGACTATGTGCAAATGTAAAATCTTTTTCCTCCTGGTGTTTTGGCATTGCTTTTCAATGGGATTGTGTAACTGCAAAAATATTCAGTGCCAAACAACACTCAAATGCATGTGATTCCCTTGCGGTTGACTCCACTCTTAAGATGTGTGAATGCTATGGATCGTTTTGGAGGTATCTCAGAATAGATGGAGGTGGGTGACGGAGGAATCCTTGTCATTGTCCCCGTCTCCTCCTCAGCCATGCGCATAAGATGTTGCTTGCGTGCTGTTTTTGGCTGTGTTTTAATTGAAGCCCGGAGGTCACCCTGAACGCTTTCCAGGAATTAGGAGTTAATGAAACCGTGGGTCGTGTTGCCTGGATTGTTCCCAACGACAGGCGTTGACCGAGCAAATACTCGGATTTTGCAAAATCCCAGTGGACTTTGGTCCTGATGCGGTTCTTCAGAGTTTAATTTGAAAAGACGTTGAATTGCGGGTGCAAACGAGATTCCACCTGAACATGAGGAAGAACGTCCTCACTGTGGGAGCTGTTCAACAGTGGAACTCTCTGCACCGGAGTGTGGTGGAGGCTTTGAAGTAGAGGCTAGATGGCCATCTGTCGGGAGGGCTTTGAATGCGATTTTCCTGCTTCTTGGCAGAATGGGGTTGGACTGGATGGCCTTTTCCAACTCTAGGATTTTATGTGTAGGTTGACCTCGGATATAAGTCAAGGGCCGGTTTGGGGGCCAGAATGGCGGATGTTGATATGATCCATGGATAAGTCGAGGGTCATTCCACACACCCTCCCCAAAATTCCACTTTTTCAGGGAAATATGCTGTAGCCAAATGGAAATACTCTCTTTTTCCTGCACTTCCTCCCTAAGAAAGGCCTCTGTACGAAATCCAGCTAGATGCAAATGAGCTAAATTGACTGTGGCCTATAACTTGGGAATGTTCTTTTTTTGGGAGGGCTGCAGTTCCCCAAATCCATGATTTTGTAAGATTATGGTACTCGAAGCCAAAGAAGTTATGTCTCTTGGGCATGAGCCATTGTGTTATAGGATTGACACTCTGCACAAGCTCAGAGGCATCATCCAAGCAGAGTGTAGGCAAACTCAACCAGGCTCTGCTGCTATTTATTTATTTATCGTGTCAGGGGCAACCAGACCATTGTATTACATTTCTAACAGAACAAAACAGACAGACAGACAAAAAAAAAAACCCACAAAGTTTGCAAGCTTGGTAATTGATTAAATGTCCTTTGACCAGTATCTGGCCACTTGGAGTGCCTCTGGTGTTGCCGCAAGAAGGTCCTCCATCGTGCATGTGGCAGGGCTCAGGTTGCATTGCAGCAGGTGGTCAGTGGTTTGCTCTTCTCCGCACTCGCATGTCGTGGATTCCACTTTGTAGCCCCATTTCTTAAGGTTGGCTCTGCATCTCGTGGTGCCAGAGCGCAGTCTGTTCAGCGCCTTCCAAGTCGCCCAGTCTTCTGTGTTCCCAAGGGGGAATCTCTCATTTGGTATCAGCCATTGGTTGATGGGTTTGAGCCTGCCACTTTTGGACTCTCGCTTGCTGAGGTGTTCCTGTGAGTGTCTCTGTAGATCTTAGAAAACTATTTCTTGATTTAAGTCATTGACGTGCTGGCTGATACCCAAACAGGGGATGAGCTGGAGATGTCTCTGCCTTGGTCCTTTCACTATTGGCTGCTACTTCCTGGCAGATGTCAGGTGGTGCAATACCAGCTAAGCAGTGTAATTTCTCCAGTGGTGTAGGGCGCAGACATTAAGAGCCACATCCACTGTTTTAGTGTGGTGAGATGTGTTCCACACTGGGCATGCAGCAGAGTAGCATAGCACAAGGGCAGATGTCTTCACTGTGTCTGATTGTGATGCCCAGCTTTGCTCTGCTGCTGAGCTGGGCAATGTAACCGCACAACTCCATTATTATTATTATTATTTTGTTATTGTTATTGTTATCAATAATAATGATAATGAATTAATAATATTATCAATGTATTAATTATTATTTATTTGTTTTGTATTTTGTTGTATTTGTCCGTTCTGCACTATTGTGTGCTTTTTGTGAACTGCTCCAAGTCCCTTCGGGGAGATTGTGGCGGGGTATACATAAGGATTATTGTTGTTGTTGTTGTTATTTGATACATAACAAGATTAGTCCACAGTGAACAAGATCACTCTGCTGGCTGTTGTATTGGATCACACGTCAGACACTTCCCAAATGTCTAGGACTGTGTGATGTATCGGTGAATAATGCAGTAGAGTGGCCTTTTCAGCTGACAGATGGTAATTTTGTCAGTGTCAATTGTTTTTAAGTGCAGGCCAAGGTCTTGAGGCACTTCACCCAGTGTGCCGATCACCACTGGGACCACCTTGAATAGCTTGTGCCAGAGTCTTTGCAGATCGATCTTTAAATCCTCATATCGTGTCAGCTTTTCCAGATATTATTGTTGTTGTTATTTGATACATAACAAGATTAGTAACAAGATCACTCTGCTGGCTGTTGTATTGGATCACATGTCGGACACTTCCCAAGTGTCTAGGACTGTGTGATGTATCAGCGGATAATGCGTGCAGATCCCTTTTGCAGCTGACAGATGGTAATTTTGTCAGTGTCAATTGTTTTTAAGTGCAGGCCAAGGTCTTGAGGCACTTCACCCAGTGTGCCGATCACCACTGGGACCACCTTGACTAGCTTGTGCCAGAGTCTTTGCAGATCGATCTTTAGATCCTCATATCGTGTCAGCTTTTCCAAATATTATTGTTGTTGTTATTTGATACACAACAAGATGAGTCCACCGCAGACAAGCTCACTCTGCAGGCTGTTGTATTGGATGATGATGATTATTATTATTATTAATATTATTATTATTATTATTTGAAACACAAGATGAGTGCACAGCAGACATTCTGCTGGCTGTTGTATTAGATCATACGTCGGATATGCCGGACACTTCCCAAGTATCTAGGACTGTGTGACGTATCGGCGAATAATGCGTGCAGATCCCAGTAAGGTGGCCTTCTACAGCTGGCTGGTGGTAATTTTGTCAGCGCCGATTGTTTTTAAGTGCGGGCCAAGGTCTTTAGGCACTGCACCCAGTGTGCCAACCACCACTGGGACCACATTGACTGGCTTGTGCAGTTCGATCTTTAAATCCTCATATCGTGTCAGCTTTTTCAGTTGCTTCTCATCAATCCTGCTGTCACCTCGGGTCGCAACCTCGACAAGCCACACTTTTTTCCCACGATCGTGTGCTCCAAAACACTCTCAGACCTCAATGTTCGACGCCACATAACATGGGAAAAATGTCCCCTTTGGTGCTTTAAGACCAAGCTCTCTTGTACCGGGGCGGACGGGGTGAGAGCACGCAAGAAATGTGCCCCGTGCTCCATTTGCGTGGACTTCCGGAGCCTCCGCTTTAGACCGCAGTGGTGGCGGAGCCAAGTCGCGTCACATGTGGCGGGAGGACTGATTGCATCCTTTTCTCAACCGCCGTAGCAACACCACGGCTGGACTTGATTCATGCTCCGTCTGTGCTTCAGGACTCCAAACAATGCTGCTTTGGTGCAGGGCTGGGGATCTGGGGGAAATGCGGGGCAAAGAAAAGATGGGAAGGGCACTGAGACTGCAGCGTGGGCAGCAGAGGTCTGAAAACAATCCCTGTAAACTGCCACGGACCCATCAAGGCTCTGTGTTCGTTCTCTCCTTCCCTCACCTATTCTGTTCATATTAATAGTGATGTATTAATATTCATAATTGTAATGTACATAATAATAGAGATAATAATGCATAGCACAGCCCTAAACGCTTGGGAAGTGTTCAACTTGTGATTTTGTAATACGAACTCCAGCATATTTATCTCATTTGCTTTGTTTTTTGTCAGTAAAATAATAATAGCAATAATAATATATAATAATAGAGATAATAACACATAATAATAGAGATAATAATGCATCACACAGCCCTAAACGCTTGGGAAGTGTTCAACTTGTGATTTTGTGATACTAAATCCAGCATATATATCTCGTTTGCTGTGTCATACTGTGTTTTTGTATCAGTAAAATAATAATAGAGATAATAATACATAATAATAGAGATAATAATGCATCACACAGCCCTAAACACTTGGGAAGTGTTCAACTTGTGATTTTGTGATATGAAATCCAACATATTTATCTTGTTTGCTGTGTCATACTGTGTTTTTGTGTCAGTAAAATAATAATAATAGGAATAATAATACATAATAATAGAGATAATAATGCATTACACAGCCCTAAACGCTTGGGAAGTGTTCAACTTGTGATTTTGTGATATGAAATCAAGCATATATATTTTGGTTCATGTGTCATATTGTGTTTTTGTATCAGTAAAATAATAATAGAGACAATAATACATCACATAGTCCTAAATGCTTGGGAAGTGTTCATTTTGTGATTTTGTGATACCAAATCCAGCATATATATCTCGTTTGCTGTGTTTTGTGTCAGTAAAAGAATAGAGAAAATGGGAAATTGTAGTTAAGTGTACCTTTATGTACAAGATTATTCTCATGATGATGGTGATTATAGGGTAGCCAATAGTTAAGAAATATTTGGTAAATATTGAACACAAGTTTGTTAACTTTTCCTCTGGTTATTCTCATTTTTCTATACGTCCCCCATTATTTTAGAATGGGATGTCAAGACAAGTATCCTTTTATTGTTGTTTGGAAGGCAGTCATGATCCCAATTCTGATTGGTCCGTTCCCTTTTGCAGACCTTAAAGCGCAAGGAGAAGGAGTACGAGCACGAAATGGAGCGGCTGGCGAGAGAAAAGATTGCCACGCAGCAGCGGTTGGCGGAGCTGAAGAACGAACTGAGCCAGTGGATGGACGTCTTGGAAATCGAGCGGATCATCCGGCAGACCGTTCAGCCCGAGGACGATCAAGCGTCTACCTCGACAGCGTCAGGTACGCCAGAAAATACTACCAGAGGATAGCCTCATGGTTCATTCAGTTGGATTTAATGCTCCCTGCAAAAGCCTGTTGGCAAAAAATGTAGTCCACTCCTGAAATGCAGTATATATGGGAAGAGTTACCATATATAAGGATGTAGATGTCCACTTCATGCTACAGTATATATGACTGTATATACTCATGAATAATTCAACCTCATGTTACTATATATACTCATTAGGCATGGGCAATCTATAGGCATAGGCAATCTATGGTTCTAAAGTATTTACAAAACTAAGGGGCACCGGTGCTTTGCTTCTAAAGTGTTGCTAAAGTTCTGGTGGCGAAAATTTCAGAACTCTAACCAAACTTTCAAAATTTTGTTATAAATGGCAGTTCCTAATTAGTTCTGTCATAAAAATTGCCAATAACGAAATAATAATGAAATTTTGAAAGTTTGGTTATGAGTTCTGAAGTTTTCACCACCAGAACTTTTGCAACACTTTAGAAGCAAAGCACCAACGCCCTCTAGTTTTGTAAGTACTTTAGAACCATGGACTGCCCATACCTAAGTCAAATGCAGGTTACTGCATATACTAATATATAATTTGCCTCCATGTTACTGTATGTACTCATGCATAAGTTGACCTTATAGACCAGGAATGGGCAAACGTTCTAACTTGGGGGCCGCATGGTGGGCCGGAACAGGGTGGGCAGGCCAGAGTTCTCCTCAAGTCTGCTCCCTGCCTTTTCCTCCCCTTCCTCTTCTCTTTCGGAAGCAGGAAGTGAAGGAAAGATCCCAAAAGGATTGGCCTTGGCCAGGATGAGATTGTGGGTGGGAGAGACAAGGTGTATCTATGAGACCCTGTATGGCCTTCTCCTGATCTAGAATCTTAGAGCTGGAAGAGACCCCCAAGGGCCATCCAGTCCAACCCCCTGCCATGCAAGAAGGCACAATCAAAGCACTCCCAATAGAAAGCCTCTGAGGAAAAGCCTCCAGAGCAGGCGACTCCGCCACACTCCCAGGCAGCCTAGGCCACTCTCCAGGAAATTCTTCCTAATCTTTTCAGCTGGATCTCTCTCCCTGCCATTTGAAACCATTGCTCCCTTGTGCCCTGGTCTCTAGAGCAGCAGAAAGCCAGTTTTCCTCCTCCTCCTCCACCATGGGACACCCTTTGAAATCTTGAAACACCATTCTCATGTTCCCTCCCTACTTTCTCTTCTCCCAGCTAAACATCCCCCAGGAGAAAGGAAAAAGAGAAGGGAGGGAGAGAGGAAGAGAAGGAGGGAAGGGTGGAAGGGAAGGGAGAAGGAAAAAAAGACAAAGGGTGGAAGGGAAGGAAGGAGGGAGGGAAGGAAGGAAGGAGAAAGAGAGTGGAAAGGAAAGAGGGAGGGAAAGAAGGAAAGAAAGGGAGAGGGAGCGAAGGAGGGAGGAAAAAGGGAAGGAAGGACAAAAGGGTGGAAGGGGAGGAAGGAGAAAAGAAGGAAGAGAAGGATGGAAGGAAGGGTGGAAAGGAATGAAGAGGGAAGGGAAGAAAGAAAGAAAAGAAAGAACAGAAAGAAAGAAAGAAAGAGAGAAAGGAAAGAGAAGAAAGAAGGAAGGAGGAAAGAGGGAGGAAGGAAGGAAGGAAAGAGGGAAGGAAGAAAGAGAAGGAGAGAAGAGGGAAGGAAAGAAAGGGGGAAAGGAGAAGAAGGGAAGAGAGAGGAAAGGAAGGAAGGAAGAGAAAGAGAGGGGGAAGGAAGGAGGAAAGAGGGAAGCAAGGAAGGACGAAAGGCTAGAAGGGGAGGAAGGAAGAAGGAAGGAAGGTTGGAAATGGAGGAAGAGGGAAGGAAGAAGGAAAGAAAGACAAGAAGGAAGGAAAGAGGGAAGGAAGGATGAAGGTAGAAGGGAAGGAGGGAGGAAGTAAAGAGTGAAGAGAGAGGGGGCCAGGGGACAATTCCATTTTGTCTCCTGTGCTATGCTAATAATATAATATAGTATAGTATAGTATAGTATAATGCAATATAATATATTGTATATACATATAATATTTATAATATTATAATGTAATGCAATATAATACTAATAATGATATTATAATTATATATTTATATTACATGTAATATTGCTAATAATATTACAATATAATGGTATAGTACAATATAGTAATTTATAATACTGATATTGTACTATGCTAATAATATAATATATTGTATGTATATATATCTTGTAAGCCACTCTGATTCCCCTTCGGGGTGAGAAGGGCAGCATAGAAATGTTGTAAATAAATAAATGAATAAAGAGAGAAGGAAGTATAGGATAGGATGGTGAGGCGGGCGGGGCTGAGAAAAGAGCACAAGGGGCTACATCCGGCCCCCAGGTCTGGGTTTGCCCATACCTGGCATAGACTCCTGCATAAGTTGACCTCTCAGTCTTTTTTCAAAGCCAAACATACCTATCTCCCTCAACTGTTTCTCATAGGCCTTGGCCTTAGATTGTTTTGTATTCTGGTTTTATTTTATGGGAATGTTCTGTTGGGCTTGGCCTCATTAAGCCGCCCCGAGTCCCCATTGGAGGGATGGTGGCGGGGTATAAATAAAAGATTATTATTATTATTTCTTTCTTTATATATATTTTTTACTGACAGCACAATATGTCACAGCAAATGAGATCTATATGCTGGAATTTGTATCGCAAAATCACAAGTCGAACACTTCCCAAGCATCTAGGAATAATAATAATAATAATAATAATAATAATAATAACAATTATTATTATTATTATTATTATTATTATTATTATTATTATTATTATTGGCCTCCAGACTGTTTCCAGTGTTGGTCACTCTTCTCTGGACACATTCCAGACAGTTAACTAATTGAATTTTGGGGTGTTGGGGGGTGTTCCCTTTTGCAGAAGGCGAAGACAACATCGATGAGGACATGGAGGACGACAGGCCCGTGAATTCGCTGCCGAAGCTTGCCCACCGCCCTCACCCGGAGCTCTTGAAGGCGGTCTCTCCCTTGGCGGCGGCGACGGTGCCCCCCGCAGCCCCCACAATCTTGCCCCTGGCACAGAAGCACGCCCACCCGCCACTCCCTCCCCAGCAGGCCCTGCTCCCCGCACAGACTCACTTGGTGGCCGCCTCCACGGTGCAATCGACTGTTATCGCCCACACGGCCACCACCCACGCCTCGGTCATCCAGACTGTCAACCACATGCTGCAGGGGCCCCAGGCCAAGCACATTGCCCACATTGCCCCTTCTTCTGGCGCCACCTCGGCCGCGGCCCAGCCCATCGGCCACATCACGGTGCACCCGGCCGCCCTCAACCACGTGGCCCACCTGGGGCCGCAGCTCCCGCTCTACCCGCAGCCCGTGGTGAGCCACATCGCCCACACCATCTCCCACCAGCAGGTCAATGGGCAGCCGGCGGCGGCGGTGGTGGGCAAGCCGGGCGTGGGGACTCAGGTGGTGCACCACCCGCAGCTGGTGGGGCAAACGGTCTTGAACCCGGTCACGATGGTGACCATGCCTTCGTTCCCCGTGAGCACCTTGAAGCTGGCTTGAAGAGGCGGGCGGCTTTGGCCCGGCCGCGACTCCGTACATTCCAACCGTGTGTCCCGATGCTAAAGGTGTCAAGAGAAAGCGTGTGTAGCGAGCAAGCGTGCGAGAGAGCAAGCAAGCGTGCGAGAGAGCGAGAGCACTGTGCGAGACATCCGGAGAAGGGGGCACAGGCATTGTTTCTTTCTCTCCCCCCCCCCCCTTTTTTTATTTTCCTGATTTCTCTTAAGCAACCCAGTAATGGGGAGGGATGGGCTGCTTCAGCACTTGAATTTCTCCGAATCAGCGAAAACATGGAACAAACTGTCCTTCACGGTGATTTAACTCCTCCCCTTTTCCTTTTGACATGTAATCAGTGACTGTAATAACGTTCTTAAGACGTTTAATTATTTTTTTTGTTTTGTTTTCCACCGCTGCCACCACTTTATTATTATTTTTTGATGTGTTTGCTTCTTTGTAGGATTTTTTTTTAATGGCTGATCTCTTTACCGAGACTATGCATAGATTAAGACGAAAAAAAGAAATCACAGAAATATATATGTATATGTATAGATATATATGTATGTATATCTATATATATCTATATATCAGGTATGGGTAAACCCAGGCCCGTGGGCTGGATGCGGCCCCTTGGGCTCTATCCTTCCTTCTCTCTTTCCTTCCTCCTTCGCTCCCTCTTTCTCATTCCTTCCTTCCTTCCACCTCTTTTGCCTTTCCTTCTCTTTCCTTCCTCCCATCTCTTTCCCTCTCCCACCATTCTCTTCCACCTTTGCATCTTTCCTTCTCCCCTTCCTTCCTCCTGCCCTTCCTTTCTTCCATCCATCTTTCCATCCATCCTTCCCTTCCATCCTTTTGTCCTTCCATCCATTTTGTCTTTCCTTCCATCTCTTTCCTTCATCCTTACCTCCTTCCCTCTTTCTCCTTCCTTCCTTCCCTCCACCTTCCTTCCTTTCCTCTTCCTCCTTCCTTCCCTTTTTCCTTCCTCCCATCTTTCCTTTCCTCCCTTTTGTCTTTCCTTCCATCTCTTTCCTTCCTTTTACCTCCTTCCCTTCCCTCCTCTTTCCTCCTTCTTCCTCCTTTCTCCTTCCTTTTCTCTCCCTCTTCTCCTTCCTTTCTCTCCCTTCCTTCCTTCCTCTTCTCCTTCCCTCCTTTCTTTCCTTTTTCCTTTCCCTCTTTTTCCCCCTTTCCTCTCTTTCTCCTTCCCTCTTTTTCCTTTCTTCCTTCCTTCCTTCCTCCTTCATTCCTTCTCTCCCTTTTCTCCTCCTTCCTTTCCTTCCTTTTTCCTTCCTTCCTCCTTCCTTCTCCCACTCTTTCATCTTTACCTCCCTTTTGTCTTTCCTCCATCTCTTTCCTTCTTCTTCTCCCTCCCTTCCCTCCTCTTTCTCCTTCCTTCCTTCCCCCTTTCTCCTTCCTTCTTTCTCTCCCTCCCTCCCTCCCTCCCTCCCTCCCTCCTTCCTTCCTTCCTCCCTCCCTCCCTCCTCCCTTCCTTCCTTTCTCCTTTTTCTTTCCTTTGGTCTCTCTTTCCATCCTCCTTATTCCCCTCCTTTCACTTCATTTCCATCTTCCTTCCTTTCCTCTTTCCTCCTCTCCTTCCTTCCTTCCTTCCTTCCTTCCTTCCTTCCTTCCTTCCTTCCTTCCTTCCTTCCTTCCACCTCTTCTCTTCCCTCACTCCCTTGCTCTCCCTCTTTCTTCTTCCTTCCCTTTCTTCCCTTTGTCCTTACTTCCTTCTTTTTTCCTTCTCTTTTTCCTTCCTCTGTCCTTCCTTCCTTCCACCTTTCCTTTCCCTTCCACCCTTTCATCCTGTTTTCCTTCCTTTTATCTTTCCTCCCTCCCTTCTTCCCTCTCTTTCTCCTTCCATCCTTCTTTCCTTTCTGCACTTTTATCCTTCCTTCTCTCTTTCTCTCTTTCTTTCCTTCCTCCTTCCCTTCCGTCCTTCCATTGCAGCCCCCAAGTGAGAAAGTTTGCCCAGACCTGATATATAATATCTCGCCCTGCCTGTAGCTACACATATATATCTAAATACGTTTATCAATGGCGGCCTTGAATGAGGCGGATTCCTTTTTTATTTTTTATTTTTTGGTGCAGGAATATTAGGCACAATGTTAACACGGATTCTTTTTTCCTTTCGCTGAGAACAGACAGAGCCTCCCTTAAAATCAAACCAAACAGAAGCTTCTTTGGGAAAAGACAGGTGGTTTTGGTGGACCAGGGTAAAGCATATTCAAGGCAGGAAAAGACACGGGGCGCCACTTTTTCTTTCCTCTCCTTTCGTTCTATTTGCATTTCAGTAAAAAAAAGAAAAACCATCTTATAATAATCACTGTGACTTGTTATGACATTTTAAGGAAATCCTCTGTCTAATAAAAAAGGTTACAAAATACCAAACGACTACAAGACAACGCGACCTCGTGGCTGTGATTCTGAAAGCGGACGCTTGGGAAAGGAGTTCCAGGTTGGTGCTTCCTGCCCTTTTTCTCCCTCCATGTCTGCCTGCCCACCTTTCATCCTTTCCTTCCTTCATCCTGCCTTCCAACCTTCATGCTTCTCTTTGTCCTTTCTTTCCTGCCTGACTTCTTTCCTCCTTTCCTTCCTCCCAACCATGGTCCTTTCCTTCCATCATCCCTTCCTTCCTTCTTCCTTCATCCTTTTCCTTTCTTCCTGTCTTCCAACCATTGTCTTTCTTCCCTCCCTCCTCCCTGCCACCTTTCATCCTTTCATTCCTTCCTTTGTTCTTTCCTTCCTTCCTTCTTTCATCCTGTCTTCCAATCTTCATTCTTCTCTTTCTTCATCCTTTCTTTCCTGCCTGACTTCTTTCCTCCTTTCCTTCCTCCCAACCATTGTTCCTCGCTCCCTCCCTTCCTCCTTTTCTTCCAATTGTCTTTCTTCCCTCCCTCCTCCCTGCCTTCCAACTTTTGTCCTTTTCTTTCTTTGTCCTTTCCTTCGTTCCTTCATCCTGTCTTCCAACCTTCATCCTTACTTCGTCCTTTCTTTCCTGCCTGACTTCTTTCCTCCTTTCCTTCCTTCCTTCATCCTTTTCTTCCTGTCTTCAAACCATAGTCTTTCTTCCCTCCTCCCTGCCTTCCACCTTTCATCTCTTCCTTCCTTCTTTCTTTCCTTCATCCTGTCTTCCAATCTTCATCCTTCTCTTCCTTCGTCCTTTCTTTCCTGCCTGACTTATTTCCTCCTTTCTTTCCTCCCAACCATTGTTCTTTCCTTCATCCCTTCCTTCCTCTCTCCCTCTCTCCTTCCTTTATCCTTTCCTTTAATTCCTCCCTTCTTCCAGTCTTCCAACCATTGTCTTTCTTCCCTCCCTCCTTCCTTCCAACTTTCGTCCTTTCCTTCTTCTGTTCTTTCCTTCCTCCGTTCTTTTCTTCCTTCATTTGTTCCTTCTCCCTGCCTTCCAACCTTCCTCCTTCCTTTCCTTCCCTCCTTCTTCCTGCCTGCCTTCCCTCCTCCTTTCCTTCTTTCCACTCTTTTTCTCTTTGCTCCCTCCCATCTTTCCTCCCTTCCCAATCCTCCACCCTGGTGGCTGAGACAGTGACACCTTATCTTTCTAATGCTCCAATTACATTGCAGGAGCTCTCCATGGGCCATCCAGGGTCCTCCCCCCTGCTAAGTAGGAAGGCACAATTCAAGTCCTCCCAATAGATCCAGCTTCTCCTTGAAAACCACCACCAGATTCTGAACACTGAATATCTCTTACCGTCAGGAAGATCTTCCAAGTGTTTAAGTGGCAGCTGAAGGCTTGCATTATCTGGACCAAGTGCCATCACGAGAAGCTGGGTGGCAGCCCAAGCAGCCCTTTAGTCTGAGACAGTGGGTCTCTCCTTCCTTGCAGATCAATACTAGTAATACTTTATTGATATTCCGCCCTATCTCCCCAAGGCGATTCGGGGTGGATCACAGGACACATACGCTGCAAACATTCAATGCCATTAGAAAAGACAGAAAGGAGGTATGTTGTGTCGACGTCCTGCTTTTTGGCACCTTGGAGGTTGTGCTCAATCCAGCCATAGGGGAGTGCTGTTGCTCCATCAGGACTTCCTTCTTCCTTTTGGTTGCTGGGCATTTTCTGATCTTTTATGGTGTCGTAAGATATCTCCCCCACTTTTTAGCAGTACCTAATTTCTCTACTCATGGCTCTAAGCTGTTTTCAAACTGCTTAGGTAAACAGCGAGCTGGGCTGACTGTCGGGTGCTCACCCTGACCCAGGCTTTGAACTGCCAACCTTTTGATTGGTGTGATCTGTTGATGATTAACCAGCTGTGCTAAAGCCTCATCATTTTAGAGTGTTGGTAGGTCTTATTGTGATTTACCAACTGTACTATATAGCCCAGTCCTCGTCATTTTAGGGCGTTGGTAGGTCTTATTGTGATTTACCAGCTGTGCTAAAGCCTGGCCCGTTTGACACATTTTGGAACAGACAACAGGCAGAAAGTGTGGCACCCAAGAGGAAAAAAAATGGGATGACATATAATTTGGGGTGGGTTTTTTTTAATCCATAGGATGCACTTCAAAGATCAACTCCTGAGCCATAAATATTCTGCTCCAGACAAAAATAAATAAGGCAGTACACAATATTCATAAAAGACCAATATGCCAGAACAAGTACAACAAAGTTTCCACGGTTGGTTTGTTGGGTTTTCTTTCTTTTTACATACTAAAGTGTTTTATATAATACATTCTCTAAAACTTAGTGCAATCTGAAGAGAGACCGATCCCGTGGGGTTCCGGGCGCCCAAAGGTGCTTTTTGACCTCTCCTTCCACGAGATGGAAATAATTACGGGAAGCAATGGTCCTCCGCCATGAGACTGTCCAGCAGAACCATGCATGGGTCTTCAAACCCTTCTCGGGCACAAAATGAGAAGGGAAATCTGACAAACGAGAGTTGGGAAAAGTGGGCATGCCGGCGTTACAAAAAAAGAGGTCAAACATTTGGTCTCGAGGTCCAAGGAAAACGAGAAAAAGGGCTCGTTTCTCGCCGCGTGCCCTGCTTTCCCTTTCCGTGGCATCGCCAACACATGCAGGCTTTGGGGAGTTAGAACACTCGACACCAGATCAGACACATGCAGACACATACACACACACACATACACGCCCAGCACACTGGCCCGCAAACCAAGGTGCCATTTGCCACGGTTGCATACTAACCAAAGAACGACATTGGACATACAGTATGTGCAAATACAGGCATCCCAAAAAGACTGGCGTGGGATCCTCTCGGAGCAAAGGACACATCTCTCGTATCCCGGACGCTTCCCAGGCCGCCATGTTTTGTTTCCGTTTCCAAATTTCTAGCCCTCAGTATTACAGAGAAAAACTTAACTGCCGTATTTCTTCGACTCTTAAGACACAACTGGTTGCCAGACGATTATTTAATTACCAGTCCATCTACTCGGTCTGCCTTGGTTAGACCACACCTGGAATATTGTGTCCAATTCTGGGCACCACAATTGAAAGGAGATATTGACAAGCTGGAATGTGCCAAGAAGCAGGAAAATTGCATTCAAAACACCCCCAACAGATGGCCATCCAGCCTCTGCTTAAAAGCTTCCAAAGAAGGAGCCTCCACCACACTCCAGGGCAGAGAGTTCCACTGCTGAATGGATCTCACAGTCAGGAAGTTCTTCATGTTCAGATGGAATCTCCTTTCTTGTAGTTTGAAGCCATTCATTGCATCCTAGTCTCTAGGGCAGCAGAAAACAAGCTTGCTCCCTCCTCCCTGTGACTTCCTCACATATTGATACATGGCTATCATGTCTCCTCTCAGCCTTCTCTTTTTCAGGCTAAACATGCCCAGCTCTTTAAGCCACTCCTCATAGGGCTTGTTCTCCAGACCCTTGATCATTTGAGTCGCCCTCCTCTGGACGCATTCCAGCTTGTCAATATATCTCTTCAATTGTGGTGCCCAGAATTGGACACTATTCCAGGTGTTCAGAAAGCTCTTTGATTGTAGGTGAACTATAAATCCCAGTAACTACAACTCCCAAATGTTAAGGTCTAAACTCCACCAGTGTTCACATTTGGGCATATTGAGTATCTGTGCCAAGTTTGGTCCAGATCCATCACTGTCTGAGTCCACAGTGCTCTCTGGATGTAGGTGAACTACAACTCCAAAACTCAAAGTCAATGCCCACCAAACCCTTTCAATATTTTCTGTTTTGGTCTTGGGAGTTCTATGTGCCAACTTTGGTTCAATTCAATTAATGGTGGAATTCAGAATGCTCTTTGATTTAGATGAACTATAAATTCCAGCAACTACAACTCCCAAATGACAAAATCACACACACACCCCAACCCCACCTGTAGTGAAATTTGGGTGTATCAGATATTTGTGTCCAGTTTTGTCCAATGAATGAAAATACTTACTTCATATCAGATATTTGTCTTACTGGGGCTAACAGCGGGAGCTCAGCCCGCTCCCTGGATATGAACCATTGACTTTTTGGTCATCGTTCAGCAGCTCAGCGTTTTAACCCATTGTGCCTGTGGGGGCTCCATTATTCCCCGAATAGTTCACCAAAAGGAGCAAAGCAAGAAATCCCTTTCCTAGAAAGAGGGGAGTTGGGATTTGGCACTGATTCCCACTAGGAAGCCCTGGGGTCGCGAGGAAGGTTGGCGAGAAGCCTAGGGATAATTGGAGGAAGGTTGGCGAGAGGCGTAGGGATAGTTGGAGGAAGGTCGGCGAGAGGTCTAGGGATAGTTGGAGGAAGGTTGGCGAGAGGCATAGGGATAGTTGGAGGAAGGTCGGCGAGAGGCGTAGGGATAGTTGGAGGAAGGTCAGCGAGAGGTCTAGGGATAGTTGGAGGAAGGTTGGCGAGAGGCATAGGGATAGTTGGAAGGTTGGCGAGAGGCGTAGGGATAGTTGGAGGAAGGTTGGCGAGAGGCGTAGGGATAGTTGGAGGAAGGTTGGCGAGAGGCGTAGAGATAGTTGGAGGAAGGTTGGCGAGAGGCGTAGGGATAGTTGGAGGAAGGTTGGCGAGAGGTCTAGGGATAGTTGGAGGAAAGTTGGCGAGAAGCCTAGGCATAGTTGGAGGAAGGTTGGCGAGAGGCGTAGGGATAGTTGGCACAAGGTTGGCGAGAGGCATACGGATAGTTGGCACAAGGTTGGCGAGAGGCCTGGGGACATTTAGAGGAAGGTTGCTAGCAAAGGATCCCACCCAAAATGGAGGAAAAGAGCTTGCAGGAAACGTTGTGAGAAATGCACAGTAAGAAATCTGTGCAACTTGTTTCCAAAGACCTGGAAACTGGTTGCAAACTGGGAAAAGAGAAGCAACCCCAGTGCGGGAGGCACTTAAGCAGCTGGGAAATGCAACACACGGCGGATTCAGACCATCCGTGACAAGGGCACACACCATACAGACACATACCCTTCGACCTTCTGACATGTGCTTAGAAATATCGCAAAGCGTTCACTACGTTACACTGAAGATGCGGTTCAGACATCAGTTGAAGTGACCAGTGCAGGTTAGGGTCCTCGTCCCGCCTCCCGTCCCCCCGAAAGTCCCCGAAAAGGCTCCGCCAGCGACACCCAATGCTGCTCCTCCGACATCCCCTCGTCTCCGGGGCTCACTTGTTCTCGATCAGCGTTTGGACCTTGCAGACTAAATCCCTGGCGATCCTCAGGATCTCCTGGGCGTCGTGATGTTCAGCCATTTCTGCACAAAAGCACACGCAAACACCCAGGAAAGAGAGATTCAACTGTGGATTGTGACCCCATTTGGCGTCAATCTGAATCTGGGGGTTGCAACTAATATGTGTATCCTGCCACCTAGTGGCTGCTTTGGACAATTACATTTGTTCATGTCAGCAGCAACTTGAGAAATTGCAAGTTGCTGGTGTGAGAGAATTGGCCGTCTGCAAGGACACCCAGATATTTTACCATTCTGTGGAAGGCTTCTCTCATGTTCCCACATGAGAAGCTGGAGCTGACAGACAGGAGCTCACCATCCTGTGGGAGGCTCCTCTCACATCCCCGCATGAGAAGCTGGAGTTGATAGATGGGAGCTCACGATCCTGTAGGAGCCTACTCTCATGTCCCTGCATGAGAAACTGGAGCTGACGGATGGGAGCTCACCATCCTGTAAGAGGCTACTCTCATGTCCCCGCATGAGAAACTGGAGCTGATGGATGGGAGCTCATCATCCTGTGGGAGGCTCCTCTCACGTCCCTGCATGAGAACCTGGAGCTGACGGATGGGAGCTCACCATCCTGTGGGAGGCTCCTCTCACGTCCCTGCATAAGAACCTGGAGCTGACGGATGGGAGCTCACCATCCTGTGGGAGGCTTGTCACACGTCCCTGCATGAGAACCTGGAGCTGACAGACAGGAGCTCACCATCCTGTGGGAGGCTTCTCTCATGTCCAAGTGTGAGAAACTGAAGCTGACGGACAGGAGCTCACCATCCTGTGGGAGGCTTCTCTCATGTTGATAATAATGATTATTATTATTAAATAGCATAGTGCTACCTTATACCTAAAGCAACGTGAAAGATATGGCGGTGTCTCTAAACATGTCAGTTTCCAAAGGACATGGCTTATTCCATCGTGAGAAACCCTTAACTCTTTGGATATTTTGGATCACAACTCCCATCAGCCCTGGTCAGCATGGCCAATGGGAGTGACAATCTAAAATATTGGTTGAAGGAGGATTGAACAACTTTTCAACACAAACTCAAATTCTTACAATGACTCAAGGAACTTTGCAGTCTTGCACGGCCAAGGAAAATGGGGATGTCGAGCCCTTGAAAGCGAGAACGAGGGGGAGAAAATAAAAGAGCGGTAACTCGACTTCAGTCGGAACGTCTGCTCCCTTACCGTTAAAAAACTTGATGATATCAGTAAAGTCCATGTTGTTATCGCGGATAATCTCTCGGTAGGCCTCCACCAACGCTAAGGCAATGAAAAGGACAAAATGTTCTGAAGAGATGTGCTTTGCTGCCCAAATAACTTCCCACACTGTAAATACATCCTCGTACAACAATTCTGAATGGGAGGGAATAGACATTACAGAGAACATCCAATTACTCACAGGCGCAACATCGGTCGCAACAGTTTCGCCCCCTCCCCTCCCCTGTGGAAGATATTAAAACGACCCCAAGGATGAGTTCGATAACAACGGGTTGCAATTCCCATAATCCAGGATGGAGCCTGGAAGGGCATTTGGGAAAATCGTGGTCCCAAGTGAGAAACATTTCGATTTGGAACGAATCATGCAACAGACTTGCTCCCAACCCCATTCTGCCAAAAAGCAGGAAGAAGAGGGCATAAATAATAATACGAGGGGCGTTCATTAAAGATTTCCTTTGACCACTTCTATTTATCACAGGACACTGAAACTACACGTGTAATGATATACGTCTCTATAGGTTACGTGCCAATTTACAACTCGGAACTGAGAATGGTCTTGATGCTACAAGTGCTGAAGTGGAGTGAGGTTTGAGAATGGACCCAGTAGTATACAGATAAGTCCTCAAGTTCCTTTACTCGAAAGGCTGTACACCAAAGGAGACATTCGATGAGATGAAAGAGCTTGATGGTGAGGATTCCCCATCATATCATGGAGTCAAGAACCGGCATCGTCAATTCCAATGTGGTCAGACTTCGGTGCAAACAGCTCCAATTCCAGGGTGACCTTACTCTGCTACTGATCCAGCAAGTGGAGGTTGCCATTTTGGAAAATCGCCACGTAAACATTCTCCACCAAGCCCAAAATGTCAGGATGAGTGTGTGATCCGTGGAAAAAATCACCCAAGACCATCTTCACATGCATAAGGTATCCACTCGCTGGGTCCCCGGCTGCTCACACCTTTCCAGAAGCACAAACAAGTTGAATGCTCTCAGGCTCTCTTGACAATTATGTGACATGGAAGCCAGGAGAACTTTTTCAACAGACTGATCATACAGGGTGAAAGCTAGGTCCATCACTCTGATCCTGAGACTCAAGTCCAGTTGATGCAAGGGAAGCATCTTGACTCACCGCCTCCAAAGAAGGCACATGCCCAACTGTCAGCAGGCAAGGTCACACTCACAGGATTTTGGGACCAGCACAGACTAAGATGGATGGTATTCCTAGCAAAGGAATTCAGGATCACTGGGGCAGGTGACACTCAGATCTTTCACGTGGCTGGATGGATCTTGTTTTTCTTATCCCACCTCTGCCACTAAGTGAGGCACTCAAACTTGTTGCATGGCGGAAGGGCTCTTTTATGTATTTATCTCACCAAAGATGTAAAACAGTCAGGAGGGGAGAAGGCTGCGAGCCTATGCAAACATACCACTCAAGAATAAAAAAAAAATGTATATTTGTAGCGTTTTGAGGCAAGAACGTAATGGTTACAAAGGTATATTATATCTCTTCTTCCACCTTTTGTGACTTCTTGAGTTGGAGGTGATATATTGAAAAAGAGGCTTTGTTTAAAATGAAACAGTAACTCAGTTTATTTGTAGCGTTTTGAGGCAAGAGCGTAATGGTTACAAAGGTATATTATATCTCTTCTTCYACCTTTTGTGACTTCTTGARTTGGAGGTGAGATATTGAAAAAGAGGCTTTGTTTAAAATGAAACAGTAACTTTGTTTATTTGTAGAGTTTTGAGGCAAGAGCATAATGGTTGCAAAGGTATATTATACCTTTGTAACCATTACGCTCTTGCCTCAAAACACTACAAATAAACAGAGTTAATGTTTCAGTATAACTTTCATTCAACCTTTTCCTTTTCTTCAAAAGGACTTTTACATTCCTACATAAAACAGATTTCGAACTATCTTCAACCTTTTCCTCTGACTAATTTTTCCCAGTAGCTTTCCAGCTAATGTCCTCCCTGACCTTAGCTCACTAACCAAACCCCAGAATGTTCAGTTAGTCTTCTTCAACTGTCATCCTTGACTCTAACTCATTCGCATCCAGCCAATCAGGTCGCTCTCATGCAAATAGCTTCTACACTGGTGCTGTGGCTCCCTGAGAAGTACAAAATGGCTGCTCACACGCCAATCCTCCATGGTAGGTCACGTTCGTACTTTCTAAGGTGAGTCGGAACCGTTACCGCAGGCTATGTTTCGCTGCTGCGGAAATGGTGGGAGGCCATTCAAACCAAGAGACAATGTGGGATGTTCACCAAAGATGTCCGCCTTCTGCAAGACAATACCCCCGTTCACAGCTCACCTGTTGCCCAAATGGAAGAAGAATGCTCCGGTGGTTTGGACATTCAACCTCTTCCCCCGATTCACCCAACCTCACGTCATCGGACTTCCACGTCTTTTCAACATTGAAGTTATTTTTGAAGGGCAAGCATTTCTCAGGTGATGAGACAAGTCACAACGTGGCTTTTGGAGCAAGCTAGCAACTTCTACAAGTGAGGTGTTTACAGTTGCTTGAAAAGATGAGAGAAGTGCATGTCCCGAGGTAGCAACGAGGGAGAGAAGGACTCTTCACTGGGCCAAGTTTCCTTGCTCTCAGTCCACAGGAAGAAGTGGGTCAGGGGAAATCTTTCATGAACGCCCCTTGTAATAGTAATATTTACAAACCCCCACTAATTCTCCAAACCCTATAGGACCCTTATTAGGTGCAATAAAAATACCTCTTTTAAAATCCAGAAGAAACCAGCGGTAACAGAAGTAGAAGTGGGTGTAGTCTCCATTTTGGTGCATGAGTTCAAAGAGCTCCGAATCCAAGATCTGTAGTAGGAAAGATGGATGAAAAACGACAACAGCACACAATGTAACAACCAAAGGACACCAATGGAAAAGCCTTATTTGAGCCTACTTTCTCCCTTCTCCAGCTCACATCCATCTTTACTTGGTCCTTTGCGAAGGACTCCCTTTGAACGTCTGCATGGCAATGCCCTGGCCCCCTTCCTTGGAGGAAGCCTTTCTATCTATATGCTGCATCTGAGCACTGCATACATACATGCATACCTAAAGGACAATGGCTAATGTCAGATATATTCATTAACTACGTGTTTTTAATTACAAAAATGTATGTCAAGCACTGAATAGATTAAATGGATGCAATGGCTCAGCAAAAGCTGCAATTCAATATAAGCAGGTGTGCCTATAGCTTAGTAGCTGTCAGTCCAAGGTAAACCTCAGTGGGAGAAAGGTCTCAATTTGTAAGAATGGATCACAGTCTGAGATAGGCCTTGGACTGTGAGAGAAGATCTCACAGTGTGAGGTAGGCCTTAGTCTGTGAGAGAAGGCCAAACAGTGTGCAGTAGCCCTTAGACTGTGTGAGAAGGTCTCACAGTGAGCTGTAGGCCTTAGTCTGTGGGTGAAGCCTCGGTGTGAGGTAGGCCTTAAGCTATGAGAAGGCCTCACAGTGTTAGGTAGGCCTTAGTCTGAGAGAAGGCCTCACAGCGTGCAGTAGCCCTTAGACTGTGAGAAAGTTTCACAGTATGCAGTAGCCCTTAGACCAGTGGTTCTCAACCTGGGGTTCCCATATGTTTTTGGCCTATAACTCCCAGAAATCTCTACCAGTTTACCAGCTGTTAGGATTTCTGGGCGTTGAAGGCCAAAAACATATGGGGACCCCAGGTTGAGAACCACTGCCTTAGACTGTGTGAGAAGGCCTCACAGTGTGCAGTAGGCCTTAGTCTCTGAGAGAAGGCCTCACAGTGTGTGGTAGGCCTTAGTCTGTGAGAGAAGGCCTCACGGTGTGCGGTAGGCCTTAGTCTGTGAGAGAAGGCCTCACAGTGTGCAGTARGCCTTAGTYTGYGAGAGAAGGCCTCACAGTGTGCAGTAGGCCTTAGTCTGTGAGAGAAGTCTTGGTGTGAGGTAGGCTTTAGGCTATGAGAAGGCCTCACAGTGTGCAGTAAGCCTTAGTATGAGACAGGAGGCCTCACAGTGTGCGGCAGGCCTTAGCCTGTGAGAGAAGGCCTCACAGTGTGCAGTAAGCTTTAGTTTGTGAGAGAAGGCCTCACAGTGTGCAGTAAGCTTTAGTCTGTGAGAGAAGCCTTGGTGTGAGGTAGGCCTTAGGCTATGAGAAGGCCTCACARTGTGCGGTAGGCCTTAGTCTGTGAGAGAAGGCCTCACAGTGTGCAGTAAGCCTTAGTCTGTGAGAGAAGGCACACAGTGTGCAGTAGATCTTAGTCTGTGAGAGAAGCCTCTGTGTGAAGTTGGCCTTACTCTGAGGCGGCCTCAGAGTTTGAGAAGACCTGGTGTGAGAAGGTGTGGTGAGAGGAAGCCCCAGGTTGAAAGCCTTGTGTGTAAAGCTACTGTGTGAAGCTTCTGTGTAATACATATTTTTCACTTCAGATGGATGGGTTGATAGACCAACATTGCCCTTGTTTCCTTTTGCTAAGCTACCTCGAACTAACCATAGACTTAAAGAAGTCAGAAATCTTTGAAGCCAAGTACGCCCTTCTGGTTGCGATTGACTGCAACTCCCAGCATTTCTTTCCAATTGACTCTACCGCCTAATGGGAGATGCTGTAGTCCAACCATCTCTGGAGACATACACCCCCATTTTAAGTACCAAATATGGGTTAGTAAGGTGCTCACATTGACGAGGACTAACCTGGATAAGGGAGCGCATGTTGGCAAAATGGGTGTCCATGGCCCCTCCGTTGGGGAAGTTTTGGCTCATTCTTTTCATTAGGTGGGTGAAGCAGCTATACGCCAACTCATCTGAAACAAAGCCCAAAGGACTGTTAACTTTGGAGAGCTAGACATTTATTATTATCATTATTATTATTAGATGCAAGATTAGTGTACTGTAAACAACATCATCATGCTTGCTGTTGTATTAGATCACACCTCGGACTTGTGTCTAGGACTGTGTGATGTATCGGCGAATAATGTGTGCAGATCCAAGAAGGGTGGCCTTTTGCAGCTGGCAGATGGTAATTTTGTCAGTGCCAATTATTTTTAAGTGCAGGCCAAGGTCTTTAGGCACTACACCCAGTGTGCCGATCACCCCTGGGACCACCTTGACTGGCTTGCACCAAAGTTTTTGCAGTTCTATTATTATTATTATTATTATTATTATTATTATTATTATTATTATTGCAATTATTATTATTATTACTACTACTAGTAGTAGTACAATGGAGAAGCAAGGTTTCAATTCTGAATGATCACATCATACAGTTTCCTGCATTTTACCCCATCTTTGTATCACCTTTTACTGGAGGAAAGGGAAGGACAATGCGTTTTTTGGCTACATAATGTCCAGATGGGGCTCCTGTTGGTGCAGCGGGTTAAACCGCTGAGCTACTGAACTTGCTGACCAAAAGGTTGGCGATTTGAATCCGGATAGCAGGGTGAGCTCCTGCAGCTAGCTCCAGCTCCTACCAACCTAGCAGTTCAAAAACATGTAAATGTGAGTAGCTGGGGAGTGGGGTGAGCTTCGGCTGTTATCCCCGGCTCTTACCAACCTAGCAGTTCAAAAACATGTAAATGTTAGTATCTGGGGAGTGGGGTGAGCTCTGGCTGTTAGCTCCAGATCCTGCCAACCTAGCAGTTAAAAAACAAGTACATGTGAGTAGCTGGGGAGCGGGGTGAGCTCCAGCTGTTAGCCCCAGCTCCGGCCAACCTAGCAGTTCAAAAACATGTAAATGTGAGTAGCTGGGGAGCGGGGTGAGCTCCGGCTGTTAGCCCCAGCTCCGGCCAACCTAGCAGTTCAAAAACATGTAAATGTAAGTAGCCGGGGAGTGGGGTGAGCTCTGGCTGCTGGACCCAACTTGGCAGGAGAACCAACCTAGCAGTTCAAAAACATGTAAATGTGAGTAGCTGGGGAGTGGGGTGAGCTCCTGCTGTTAGCCCCAGCTTCTGCCAACCAATAGGTACCGCCTTGGCGGGAAGGTAACGGCGCTCCATGCAGTCATGCCAGCCACATGACCTTGGAGGTGTCTACGAACAATGCCGGTTCTTCAGCTCAGAAATGGGGATGCGCACCAACCCCCAGAGTTGGACACAACTAGACTTAATGTCAGGGGAAACCTAATGTTCGGAAGTAGGTAAGAGGGAGACCTAAATGTGTCTCAAAATCAGTATTGGATTCCTTACCTTGGTCAAGGATCACCATGAGCGGAGCCAGAAGGTCACACATTCCCTGGACGTAGCCGACATCTAAATGTTCCCAAACGTAGCTGCAAACAGTGAGAGAGAAGAGTGAGAGACTGGAGGGAAATGTCTCCAAACAAAGTCTTCCCATCAGAAATCACTTGGCAGGTCAAAGAGAAAGAATCCCGATCCATCCCTTTGGCATGCGTCTTTATCCAAGGGACTGAGAGAAATACCTGCACATAATGTTCCTCAGTTTCTCCAGGTTCTCGGCGGTGAAATACCAGTAATTCCGATCGCACCGCTGGACGTCCTTGTCGATTCTGTGCAGGTTCAAGGCCACCGTGTCCAACATTTCTATCTACAAGATACAAAGAAAAGTCATGGACATGTTACTCGACAGGAAATGAGCTAAAGCTGAATCTACACTGTGATTTGAAACCACTTTAACTGTCACAGCACAACGCTATGGAATTTTACAAGCTCTTCAGTCCTGGTGCCTCACCAAACAACAACAACAACTACTACTACTATTATTATTATTATTATTATTATTATTATTATTATTATTATTATTATATTAAGATTGAAATACAGTAATCAAAAGCAATACCCAATGCTATACCCAATACTAGAGCATACCATAAACTCTGTATTGATTTGATATCATTTATTATTATTATTATTATTATTATTATTATTATTATTATTATAAACACAACAAGATGAGTCCACAGCAGACATTCTGCTGGCTGTTGTATTGGATCACACGTCGGACACTTCCCAAGTGTCTAGGACTGTGTGATGGATTGGCGAATAATGTGTGCAGCTTTTGGAACTGACAGATGGTGATTTTGTCAGTGCCGATTGTGTTTAAGTGCAGGCCAAGGTCTTTAGGCACTACACCCAGTGTGCCGTTCACCACTGGGACCACCTTGACTGGCTCGTGCCAGAGTCTTTGCAGTTCCATCTTTAAATCCTCATATCTTGTAAGCCGCTCTGAGTCCCCTTCGGGGTGAGGGCAGCATATAAATGTCATAAATAAATAAATAAATAAAAGATATTATTATTATTATTATTATTATTATTATTATTATTAGGATTGAAATGCAGTAATCAGAAGCAAATTAAGACCAACACAACTGTATGTAACACAATATTTTAATATTTTATTATTCTTTTTTCAATTGTTTTGGTTGACTGCTTGGGAACTCCAGTTGCTTGAGTTCTGGCGAACTGAGAGTCTACCATAGTAGGATTCCAGAAAGTGGTGTCAAAGTGCATTAATTCCACAGTGTGGATGCCACCCCAGATTGGAAAGGCAGGCAGGAAATGCCAAAGTTTGGACAAGCCCATTGCTAGGGGCCCTGGATCTCTATCCTTAACTATAAATCAGTGTTTCTCAAGCTTCCTAATGCCACGACCCTTTAATGTGCAAGGGTTTGGCAGGCATTGACCTTGAGTTTTGGAGTTATAGTTCGCCTACATCCAGACAGCACTGTGGATTCAAACAATGATAACCCTGGACCATATTAGGCACAAATATTCAATATGAACACTGGTGGAGTTTGGGGTCAACAGACCTTGACATTTGGGAGTTGTACTTGTTGGGATGTATAGTTCACTGAAACGAAAGCAGAGATCTCTAACCAAGAGATTGAGAGAGAGAGAGGCTTTGTTTAAAGGGGAAACAGTAACTCTTTATTTGTAGCCTTCTTGTGGCACAAGCGTAGTGGTTACAAAGGATCAAATGCTTGCTGATTACAGAACGACGTTTCAGTATTAGTTTATTTCAGTCTATTCTTTCTTCCCAAAAGGACTGTTATACTAATAACATAAAACCAGACTTCACACTATCTTTAACCAATTCTATTCTGAACCCCACCAACGACAGAATTGGCCCAAACTTCCCACACAGAATCCCCCTGCCTTGAAGGGATTTGCTGGCACAAGCCTCCCTCCAGCCTCACACGCTCTCCCTCACCATGCTGCCATGCGCCGAGCATGCCTGCTCCCCCCTCCCTGCTTGAAGTCTCAGAACCAGCCCTCCCCTTGGCTGAGAGACTGGCCAATCACAGCAGAGGAGGACTTTTGGTGGCCTGTTTCCAAAAAGGAAGAGAAAGACAGGTGGAGGAGTTCTTAAGACCATCAGATGGTCTTTGGCGACCCCTCTGAAACCCACTCGCGATCACCCCAGGGGTCCCGACCCCCATGTTGAGAACCTATGAAGGCACACTTGAGCCAGCGGTCGCCTACCGTATATGCCGCACAGCACACAGAGATGCCTTCTTCTGCCATAGGCTTGCAGTCCATCGGAGGACACGGCGGCTCCTCCGTGCCCGGCTTCTTGGTTTCCAAATCCTTGTTTGGCGCATTTGGATCTGTGGCAGCGGCGTCCTCCTCCGTCCCGTCCTCAAAGCAGACGCTCTGCCCGTCGTCGATGCTGGAGAGGATGCCGGAGGTGACCGAGTAATTCCGGGAAGAAGGGAGACCCGAATCAGGGGAGTCGAACTCAACCGACTGCTGCTGTTCGCCAGCCACAATGACCGTTGGCGCATCGGTGCCATGGCCTCCCATGGACTGGTCCTCCGGCACCTTTGGGTCCCGCTCGACGGTATCCAGTTCGTCAACAGAGATGAACACCTGGAGAGCAAGGCAAGGTCAAAGTGGGTACGGAGAGATATGCCAGGACCAAAACAACAGGGAAGCCATGTATCCATTGTCATTAAGAGGAGTAGAGTGTCCAGATCGAGGGAAGTCATAGTAATGAATCTCAAGCACTACTAGACTGAAACCATTGCCAAAATAAGCTGGGCACTCCAGGCCAATGGAGACGCCACCACAGACATCAGAAGAACCACAAGACCAAGAGCAAGCCACGAGAGTCAAGACAAAGACCCACCCAGAGGAAAAGCGTACTTACCATACATGTATATACTTATATTAAAAGTATATAAATAAAGTATTATTGTTATTATTATTACTATAATAATTATAACACTTTATTTACATACTTTTAATATAAGTATATACATGTATGGTAAATAAATAAAGTATTAGTTATAAATAAATAAAGTATTATTATTATTAAAATAATAATAATACTTTATTTATATTCTTTTTAATATAAGTATATAAATGTATGGTAAATAAATAAATTATTATTATTATTATTATTATTATTATTATTATTATTATTATTAGCTGTATTCGTTGCTGTGGCCAACCTTCCCTCCCTCTTTCTTGCCTTCTTTCCCTCCTTCCTTTGCTCCTTTTTTCCTTTCTTCCTTCCTTTTTGTATTTTCTTCCTTCTCTCTTACCTCCCTCCCCTCCCTCTCCATTCCCTTTCATTCTTTTTCTTCCTTCCCTCTTTCCTCCTTCCTTCTCTCACTCCCTCATTCTCTTTCTTTCCTTTCTTCCTTCCCTTTTCTTCTTTCCTTCTCTCCTTCCTTCCTTCTCTCCCTCTTTCCTCCCCCTTTTTCTTTTCCTTCTCTTTCTCTCCTGTCTTCCTTCTCTACCACTTTCCTTCCTTCCTTTGCTTTTTGCTTCCATCCTTCCTTCTCTTGTTCCTTCTTTCCTTCCCTCCCACTTTCTCTCCTTCTTTCCCTCCTTCCTTTGCTCCCTCTTGCTTTCCTTTCCTTTTTTCTTTCCTTCTCTTTTTCTTTCTTCTTTCTCTACCTCTTTCTTCTTCCCCTTTCTTTTCTTCCTCCTTCCTTCCTTTCTTCTCCTTCCTTCTTCTCTCTTTCTTCTTTCTTTCCTCCTTTCTTCTTTCTTTCCCCTCTTTCCTCTCCTTCCTTTTTTCTGTATTTTCATTTAGCTTTTTGGGTTTTTAAAATCCTTTCCACTGTTTTCTTTTGGGGGGGGGGGGGGTATGAGTGATGGTCACTCGTTAACCTGTGTCCAAATTTCATGTCAATTTGTCCAATAGTTTTTGAGTTATGTTAATCCCACAAATGAACATTACATTTTTATTTATATAGATTACTGTACTACTACTACTACTACTACTATTGCCATACATCAAGGGAATTAGCATAGGGAAGCTAATGAATAAATACAAGCAACACACTATCTACAGAAAATCCAACAAAATTCAACAAACACTGAAAAACGGGGATTCCAGATAGGAACAATCAGGGCCAGCTAATGCCTCCCAACAAAGGATCTCCCAGGCAGGAAGCAGGCAGGCTTTGAAGTTGAAATGCCATTAAATGCTAATCAAAGTGGCCAATTGTGGCATTCACACTTTCCTCAAGCAGACAAGAGTTCTTTCTCCCACCCTGGAGGTCCAGAGTAGGAGAAAGAACTCTTGTCTGTTGGAGCCAAGTAACAAAATACATTGCCTTGTCTGTTGGAGGCGATGAAAAAAATACATTGAATGAAATCCACAAGCATGTGGACAATTTCAACAGACAGGAAAAAACCATGATAATGAACACAATCTGGAGAATCCTTTGTTGGGAGGTGGGAGAAAGAACTCTTGTTTGTTATAGGCAACTGTGAATGTTGCAATTAATCACCTTGATTAGCACTGCAAAGCCTTGCAGGTTCAAGCCCTGGCCAATTCCTGCCTGGAGGAATCCTTTGTTGGGAGGTGTTAGTTGGCCCTGACTGATTCTTGTCTGGAATTCCCGTTGTTTTTTTTTAATGTTGCTCTTTATTTACTAGATAGACCTCCAGATGACTGAATCAATTGTTGGAAAGTCTACTTCCTGTCCTTCTGGACCTTGAAGAAGATCCTGGTTGGCCAGAAGCTCAACAACATGACGCTAGACAACATGAGGTTCTCCAGATGCCTTGGACTACAACTTCCACCAACTGGAGGATGCCAGAATCCTAACTCTTGGATCTAGTAAAGGAATTCAAGCAGGAAGGTCTACTTCCTGTCCTTTTGTCTGGTCCTTGAAGAAGATCCTGGCTGGCCAGAAGCTCAACGACATGATGATAGGCAACATGAGGTTCTCCAGATGCCTTGGACTACAACTTCCACCAACTGGAGGATGTCAGAATCCTAACTCTTGGACCTAGTAAAGGAAATCAGGAAGGAAGATCTACTTCCTGTCCTTCTGGACCTTGAAGAAGATCCTGGTTGGCCAGAAGCTCAACGACATGACGCTAGACAACATGATGCCTTGGACTACAACTTCCACCAACTGGAGGATACCAAAATCCTAACTCTAGGGCCAGACAATGGTCCCAACCAAACTCTTCTGATATTTGCGTGGTCCAGTTAGATGTGGGGATGATGGTGTTGGAGAAGCCCGTGGTCTTACATCATTGCTGATGGAGGAGTCCTGGTGGAGCAACCGCTGGACGTGGCTATCGATGCTGCTTCCAGAGGAAAACTTGGTGGCTGTCTGGGACTCCTTCTCCCGGAGCTTCACGATCACCTCGCAGGCCTTCCACTCCGCCATCACCTTCTGGTATCGGAGGGCAATTTCTTCGTCCGCCTTTGCAACAAAAGAGAGAGCAGAGAAAGGACATGGAAAATGGTCACATCTCAGCTATATTAACTGGCAACACCAGAGAATACATTAGAGGCCTGGGATTACTTAAGACATCATTATTTTATTTACTTATTTATTTAAATATATATATATATCGCCCTTCTTACGCCCTTCTCACCCCGTATATATGCAGAGCACAGCATATATACGGCAAACTTTCAATGCCAGGACACAAATTCATATATGCATACATAAACATTAAAAACATTTATAAAAATAGTAAAAAAAAACACCATTTAAAACCGTCTTGGTCATCAAATCTAATTGGCCTGGTCATCTTTCCTATTGCTGCTTTATTGCCCTGTCCTGAAACCTTGGTCCCACAGCCATGTTTTTACCATCCTTCTAAAGCACAGGAGGGAGGGGGCCAACCTGATCTCACCAGGAAGGGAGTTCCATAGCCAGGGGGCAATCACCAAGAAGGCCCTGTCAATCGGGCCTGTGACAATGGCGGGACAGGAAGCAGGGCCTCCCCGGAGGATCTTAGTCTTCACGATGGTACATAGGGGGGGATGTGTTCAGACTGGTAAATTGGGCCGGGGCTGTTTAGGACTTTATAGGCCAAAGCCAGCACTTTGAATTATGCCCAGTAGCAGACTGGTAGCCAGTGGAGCTGGCATAACATGGGAGTTGTGTTCTCCCTGTATGCTGCCCCAGTTATTAACCTGGCTGCCTCTTGTTGGACTATTTCAAGCTTCCGAACAGTCTTCAAAGGCAACCCCATGTAGAGTGCATTGCAGTAGTCTATCCTGGATGTAACAAGAGCATGGACCACCGTGGCCAAGTCTGACTTCCCAAGGTACGGGCACAACTGGTGCACAGGTTTTAATTGTGCGAAAGCTCCCCTGGCCACCTCTGCAATCTGGGATTCCAGGCTCAGTGATGAATCCAGGAGGACCCCCAAGTTGCAAACCTGGGCCTCCAAGAGGAGTGTGACCCCGTCCAGCACAGGTTGTGACCCTATACCCTGTTTGGCCTTGCGACTGACCAGGAGGATCTCTGTCTTGTCTGGATTCAACTTCAATTTGCTTGCCCTCATTCAGACTGTCACAGCGGCCAGGACTTGGACATCTGGCGGAAATGAGTGATAGAGTTGGATGTCATCTGCGTACAGATGGCATTGAACTCCAAAACTCCGGATGACCTCACCCAGCAGCTTCATGTAGATGTTAAACAACATGGGTGACAATACTGAGCCCTACAGGACCCCACAGGACAATGGCTGTGGGGCCGAGCAGGAGTCCCTAAGCAACACCTTCTGGGTATGACCCTCCAGGAAGGACTGGAGCCACTCCAAGACCCATCTCCACGAGGCGCCCCAGAAGGATACTGTGGTCTACGGTATCGAAAGCCACTGAGATGCCCAGGAGATCCAACAAGGACACACTCCCCCTGTTGAGCTCTCTATGGAGATCATCCACTAAGGCGACCATGGCTGTCTCAGTTCCATGTCCCGGTCTGAAACCCGACTGCGACAGATCCAAATAATCCGTTTCGTCCAAGAACCCCTGGAGCTGCGAGGCAACCACACGTTCCAAGACTTTGCCCAAAAAGGGGAGATTGGAAACTGGATCCAGTAACTGCTTTTTCAACAGCGGTTTCATCACAGCCTATTTAAAGCTCGCTGGAATTTTGCCCTCTCTTGGAACTCTATATATCTATACACATAATGGTTGGCAATTCGAATCCGGAGAGCAGGGTGAGCTCCCGCTGTTAGGCCCAGCTCCTGCCAACATAGCAGTTTGAAAACATGCAAATATGAGTAGATCAATAGGTACCGCTTCTGCGGGGAGGTAACAGCGCTCCATGCAGTCATGACCTTGGAGGTGTCTATGGACAACGCCGGCTCTTCGGCTTAGAAATGGAGATGAGCACCAACACAACTAGACTTAATGTCAAGAGGACCTTTACCTTATACACATAATAAAAGTGAAAATATGTACATGTGTGTGTGTGTGGTCCACTTACACAAACAAGCTCCTGCCTCCACAAACACTAGGCCTGGGCAATGCATGGTTCTAAATGGTTCTAAAGTACTTAAAAAAACTAAAGTTCTGGTGGTGAAAATTTCAGAACGCTAACAAAACTTTCAAAATTTAATGATTATTTCATTATTGGCGATTTTTAAGACAGAACCAATTTGGAACTGCCATTTATTATGAAATTTTGAGAGTTTTGTTAGAGTTCTGAAATTTTCACCACCAGATCTTTAGTTTTGTAAGTACTTTAGAACCATTTAGAACCATGCATTGCCCAGGCCTAACAAACACTATAGCTCCCACTACTCAGGAGACATCAAAGGCCCTCCCTCCCATGACATTGCAGGTTATAGAGAGTGCCGCAAACATGTCCAAGAGCCCTGCCAGTGTCCTCCACAAACACAACACTGCCCACCACCCAAGTCAAGGCTTTCATACAGGGACAATGCCATCCCAGATTTTATGTGTTTCCTCCACCACAGACATCCCAGTGTTCCTGACTCTCTCCATTGGTGTCTCTCTGACCCCCCGCCCACTGCCTCTCCCTTAACCCTTTTCTATTCTTTTCTATGGCACACAGCAAACAAAGAAATTGATCAACAATTGAACATACTAGAGAGGTCTGGAGAGAATTCACCATGATTTTTAGGAGTTGTAGGTCCTGGGATGTATAGTTCACTTGCAATCTAAGAGCACTCTGAACTCCACCAACGATGGACCTGGAACTAATTTGACACACAGAACCCCCATGAGCAACCAAAAATATTGGAGGTCTTTAGAGGGATTTATAGGAGTTGTAGTTCACCTACATCCAGAGCGCACTATGAACCCAAACAATGATGGATCTGGACCAAATTTGGCATTCATACCCGATATGCCCAAATTTGAATACGGGAGGGTTTTGGGGGGAATTGGTCTGGACATTTTGGAGTTGTAGGTACTGAGATTTATAGTTCACCTGAAATCAAGGAGCGCTCTGAATTCCACCAAAGATGGAATTGGACCAAACTTGGCATGCAAAGCCCCATAACCCGCAAAAAAATACTGGACCTCTTTGGGGAAATTCACCTTGATTTGGGGGAGTTGTAGTTCGCCTACATCCAGAGAGCACTGTGAACCCAAACACCGCTAGATCTGGACCAAACTTGGCATGCATACCTGATATAGTTGACATTTGTTTATTGGAGGGTTTTTTTTGGGGGGGGGGGGACCTTTCTTTCTGGGAGTTGTAGTTCACCCACAACCAGAGAAAGGGTGACTTTGAAAGTGACAATGAGACACAAAACAATATTAATGTGTTGCAAGAAGCATGATACAAAGTAGGCATACCTGCATTGTCTTAATATAATGTTTTATTTTGTACTGCTCTTTGTAAGAGCTTAGGGTCTTATTATGCTTTAGAAAGTAGCATATTCTTAATACATCTGTGGTTATGAAGTTATGGCCAAAGCTATTCTTAATTAAAATTATTATATTAATATTATTAATAATTTATACTATTATTAATATTATTATTTATTATAATATTAATATTTATTATAATGTTATTAATATTATAATATTAATATTAACCAAACTTGGCACACAGAACCCCCATGGCTCGCTCAACCGACTGGAGGGGTTTGCGGGGACAGACCCACCATAGTGGGAGTTGTAGTATACCCTGCAGAGAACACACTGAACTCCACCGATGATGCATCCAGAGCAAATTTGCCCAACATAACAAACTTTAATTACTGGTGGAGTTTTTTGGTTAACTTGGCATAATGGGAGTTGTAGTTCAAGTAGAAAGGGTATGAGGGGAATGGAAGGAAAGAAGGGAAGAGAAAGGAAGGGGAAAGGGTTTAAAAAGGGGGAATGAAGGAAAGAAGAAGGAATGGAGAAAGAAATGAAGGAGGAACTAAATACGCTCCTTTCGAACCCGGCGCAGGAACCCACCCTGTGCATCTCCTTCTTGCTCATGCCAAACTTGTAGTGTCCCAGCAAGAACGGCCAAACTTCCTTCCGGATTTCGTGCTGGACGCCGCCATAGTAAACCCGTCTCAGCAGCTCCAGTTCTTTATAATTCTAAAGGGACAGAAAAAGAAACCTAAATTATGAGAAAACCAGCAAGGCCCTGGTTTGGACATCACTAGACGCAAAAAGCCAACCGCAATGAGACAAAATGAGCGTGAGCAGCAAAGAAATGTAAATACTCTTGCAGCCAAAAAGGATACAGTGTCTTAATATCAAATTTGGGTTTTTCAAGGAGCAGGGAGTTTCATCTATGCTGACGATCATGTCATCACCACCCAAGGAGGGAGCTTTGAGATGGTTGAACAGAAGCTCTAGGTGCTCTTACTGCCTATTACAGGGAAAACCAGCTTGCACCCTCAATGTTTAACATTGACACAATGATCAGCCACTGCCAGAAGGGATGGAGAGTTTCATCTATGCTGACGATCGTGCCATCACCACTCAGGCAGGGAGCTTTGAGATGGTTGAACAAAAGGTCTCTGAAGTTCTAGGTGCTCTTACTGCCTAATACAGGAGAAACCAGCTTGTACCATCCATGTTTAACATTTACACAATGATCAGCCACTGCCAGAAGGGATGGAGAGTTTCATCTATGCTGATGATCGTGCCATCACCACCCAAGCAGGGAGCTTTGAGATGGTTGAACAGAAGCTCTCCGAAGCTCTAGGTGCTCTTACTGCCTATTCCAGGGGAAACCAGCTGATTCCTAATCCATCTAAAACACAGACGTGTGCTTTCCACCTTAAGAACAGACAAGCATCTCAAGCTCTGAGGATGACATGGGAAGGAATCCCACTGGAGCATTGCAGCGCACCCAAGTACCTGGGAGTCACTCTGGACCGTGCTCTGACTTACAAGAAGCTCTGCTCGACTATCAAGCAAAAAAAATGGATGCTGGAAATAATCTCATATGAAAGCTGACTGGCACAACCTAGGGATCACAACCAGACACAGTGTAGGCATCTGCCCTTGTGCTATGCTACTCTGCTGCTGAGTATGCATGCCCAGTGTGGAACACATCTCACCATGCTAAAACAGTGGATGTGGCTCTTAATGAGACAGGCCGCATTATCACGAGGTGTTTGCGCCCCATACCACTGGAGAAATAACACTGTCTAGCCGGTATTGCACCACCTGACATCCGCTGGGAAGTAGCAGCCAATAGTGAAAGGACCAAGGCAGTGACATCTCCGGCCCACCCCCTGTTCAGATATCAGCCAGCACACCAATGATTTAAATCAAGAAATAATTTTCTAAGATCTACAGAGATACTCGCAGGAACACCTCAGCAAGCAAGAGTCCAAACGTGGCAGGTTAAACCCAGAACCTTCTAGGAATTTAAGATCGTCTGAGGAAGCCCTCCTCTCAATCCCGCCTGCCTCACATTACAACTGTACTCTTGGTTCACTCCTGATACGATAAATAAAAAAAATATTCAGTATCAAACTGCATGAATTCTACAGTGTGGATGCTCCCCAAGTTTAAGCTGAGAAAGAAGAGCTCAAAAGAGGGGAGAAAATATACCTTCTTGTCCTTCTGATATTTGCTCCAGACCTCTTTCGTCAGCCCCCCGGAAGCACTTGTGGGTTTATCTGGAGGGATGATGGTGTGATTCACCAAAGCAGACAAGTGCGTCCGGACTGTGGACAAGTGCCGGCAATAAGCAAGCCCTGTGTCGAGAAAAAAAGATGGAGGAACAAATCAACAAGATGCTTAAACTTATACATAAGATTGTTGTAAATGCCCGAACACAGGACCTGCATAGTTTGCCTTTTCGATAATTCATCCTGCTGCAATCCCTCCCTTCTATAGTTCCTATAGGTAAAAATAAAGGTTTTCTGCTGACATTAAGTCCAGTTGTGTCCAACTCTAGGGGGTTGGTGCTCATCTCTATTTATAGAGCCAGCGTTGTCCATAGACACCTCCAAGATAATGTAGCCATTGGCATGACTGCATGGAGTGCCGTTACCTTCCCACCAGAGCAGTACCTATTGAACTACTCACATTTGCAAGTTTTTGAACTGCTGGGTTGGCAGAAATTGGGGCTAACAGTGGGAGCTCACGCCCCTTTCCAGATTCGAACCGGCGACCTTTTAGTCAACAAGTTCAGCAGCTCAGTGGTTTAACCCACTGCGTTACCAGGGGCTCCATAGAAGCTCGGGCTAACAGCGGGAGCTCACCTTGCTCCCTTGATTTGAACCGGCGACCTTTTAGTCAACAAGTTCAGCAGCTCAGTAGTTTAACCCACTGCACTACCGGGGGCTCCATAGAAGCTGGGGCTAACAGCGGGAGCTCACCCTGCACCTCAGATTCAAACCTGCGACCTTTCGGTCAACAAGTTCAGCAGCTCAGTGCTTTAACCCACTGCGTTACCAGGGGCCCCATAGAAGCTGGGGCTAACAGTGGGAGCTCACTCTGCTCCCCGGATTCAAACCTGCAACCTTTTGGTCAGCAAGTGCAGCAGCTCAGTGCTTTAACCCACTGCGCTAACTGGGGCTTCATAGAAGCTGGGGCTAACAACAGGAGCTCACCGTGCTCCCCGGATTCGAACCTACAACCATTCGGTCAGCAAGTTCAGCAGCTCAGTGGTTTAACCCACTGCGCTACCGGGGGCTCCATAGAAGCTGGGGCTAATGGTGAGAGCTCACCCTGCTCCCCAGATTCAAACCTGCAACCTTTCGGTCAGCAATTTCAGCAGCTCAGTGCTTTAACCCACTGCACTACCGTGGGCTCCATAGAAGCTGGGGCTAACAGCGGGAGCTCACCCTGCTCCCCAGATTCGAACCTGCAACCTTTCGGTCAGCAAGTTCTGCAGCTCAGTGGTTTAACCCACTGTGCCACCTAAATCAATTTAACAATGCATTCTGAAACATTTAAATGGAATCGTAAAATATGGAGTGTAGTGTGTGTTGACATCCAAAAGATGGTGCTGTTTTTTTTCTCAAAAAGCATATTTTTAGCTGTCTCAGGTGTGTCATGTATATAATAGCAGGTAGGTCAAAACATAAACATGTGCCTATTCGTATGCTACGTTGTGTCCAAATTTCAAAGCAATCGGTGAAGAATTTTGGGAGATTTGAGATTTTGAACAAACAAAACAGGGCCAAATTGGTCTTCCTGTCCTAAAAAATGAGTTTTTCTGCTTTCTTTCCTGACTTTTTTTGTCCCCTTTTATCTTCACGTAGGGACACTGTATTGTTGAAGGCTTTCATGTCTGGAATCACTGGGTTGTTGTAGGTTTTTCGGGCTATATGGCCATGCTCTAGAGGCATTCTCTCCTGACGTTTCGTCTCTCAGTGGATACCACCCGAGACCCAACCCCATCCAAACAGATACTTACATCCATAGAAGGCTCTGGAAACAATCTGTCTCTTCATACTTTGGCACAACATTTTCAAAGGGGTCCTGTTGAAAGAAATACTCCAGAATGTTACCGAAACCCCTCACAATGGGTCACAATGAGAGCTGTACATAATATGAACAAAAACAAGGGATAATTGGTGGTCCACCCCTTAGTTACCTCTAGATTGGACTACTGCAATGCGCTCTATGTGGGGCTTCCCTTGGAGACGACCCAAAAATTCCAGTTGGTCAAACGAGCAGCAGCCAGGCTACTAACTGGGGCGAATTACATGGAGCGGTCAACCCCCCTGTTTAAGGAGCTCAATTGGCTGCCATTTATTTTCTGGTCTCAATTCAAGGTGCAGGTTCTTACCTACGGTTTGGGACACGCCTACCTGCGCGACCACATTTCCGTCTACAAACCTACACGATCTCTACGATCTTCCGGAGAGGCCCTTCTCTCACTCCTGCCCCCATTGCAAGTGCATCTTGTGGGGACGAGGGAGAGGGCCTTCTCTGTGGTGGCCCCTCTGCTCTGGAATTCGCTCCCCAGAGATATTAGGCAAGCCCCCACCCTGGAAATCTTTAGGAGGAGCCTGAAAATTTGGCTGTTCCACTCTATTTTCTGGTTTGTGCAATTAAACCCTACTTTATCCCCGGATCCCCTGTCCTTGATACATTACATTGCTCTCTCACCCAGCATTTTAATATTTTTAATCTTTCACAATTACCCCTGCCCACTATGATCAATTTTCTGTGTTTTAATGTTCTGATTTTATATTATTTGTCCTGTTTATTTATATTGGTTTGTATTTTATTTTATTTTTTCTGTTGTGTTCTTGTGTTACATTGTTTTACTATATTGTTGGACGTGGCCTAATGTAAGCTGCTCCGAGTCCCCTTGGGGAGATGGTGGCGAAGTATAAATAAAGTTATTATTATTATTATTATTATTATTATTATTCCAGAGCAAAATGGTGAAAGGCAAGTGCTTTCCCTTCTCTACAGAATGAACCCTGAACTTATCCATGGGTCATATCAAAATCCATATTTTGACCCCCAAATCCACTCTCAAATTAATATATTAGCCCAAATCCACTCTCAATATATTATAATATAATATAATATAATTATTATATTATATTATAATATATTAGTACTAGCTTAGTGTATTTATACAGTATCTACTGTATAAGCTAGTACTAATATAATATAATAACTTTATTTTTATGTCATTCATTGGACCAAATTGGGCACAAATACCCAATACACCCAAATTTGACTACTGGTGAGGTTGTGTGTGTGGGGGGGGGGGGGGATTGATTTTGTCAATTCGGAGTTGTAGTTGTTGGGATTTATAGTTCACTTAAAATCGAAGAGCATTCTGAACTCCACCAACAATGGAAATTGAACCAGAGTTGCCACATAGAACTTCCATGACCAACAGAAAAATACTGGAAGGGTTTTGTGGGCATTGACCTTGAGTTTTGAAGTTGTAGTTCACTTACATCCGGAGAGCACTGCGGAGTCAAGCAATGATAGATCTGGAACAGACTTGGCATGAATACTCAATATGTCCAAATGTAAACACTGGTGGAGTTTGGGGAAAACAGAGCTTGACATTTGGGAGTTGTAGTTGCTGGGATTTATAGTTCACCTACAATCAAAGAGCATACTGAACTCCACCAACAATGGAATTGAACCAAAATTGGCACAGAGAACTCCCACAACCAACGGAAAAATACTGGAAGGGTTTGGTGGGCATTGACTTTGAGTTTTGAAGTTGTAGTTCACCTACATCCAGAGAGCCCTGTGGAGTCAAACAATGATAGATTTGGACCAGACTTGGCATGAATACTCAATATGCCCAAATGTGAGTACTGGTGGAGTTTGGGGAAAACAGAGTTTGACATTTGAGAGTTGTAGTTACTGGGATTTATAGTTCACTTACAATCAAAGAGCATTCTGAACCCCACTAACGGTAAAATCAGGGCAAACTTCCCTCACAGAACCCCCATGACCCACAGGTAATACTGTGTTTTCTGATGGTTTTTGGTGACACCCCCTCGCAACCCCTCCCCGGGGTCCTGACCCCCAGGTTGAGAAACACTGTCATAATGGCAATAATAATAATAATCTTTATTTATACCCCGCCACCATCTCCTCAAAGGTTACTCAGGGCAGCTTACATGAGGCCAAGCCTGGTAATACATAACAGCAAAATACAAAACAACAAAAAATATCATCACAATAAAATAAATAGAACAGAAAAGTAAATAAAACAGTACAAAGTAATAAGGTGAAAAATCAATCACAAAGGGCAGGCCAAATGTACGACAAAATGATAAAACACTGGATGAGATAGGAATGACCAAGATATAGATATGTCTGAGTGTCAGCTACATTAAGATCACGTCTGACGAAAAGGTCATGAGTTCGAAGCCAGCCCAGGTCGGAGTGAGCTTCCGACCAATTGTGTAGCTTGTTGTCAATCTTTGTAACCTGAAAGACAGTTGCATCTGTCAAGTAGGAAAATTAGGTACCACCTATGTGTGGAGAGGCTAATTTAACTAATTTACGAGGCCATATAAAAAGACTCCAACAAAGCACTCCAGCAAAAGCATGCAGGGAATGCAGAAGTACTTCATCAGTGTTCCAGATGGACAGTGAAAGCGACAGCTCCCCTGGTGGCCAGAAAAGTTAAATAGCCTCTGACTGTCTGTCTATATCTGTTGTATGTCTTTGGCACTGAATGTTTGCCATATATGTGTACACTAGCCGTCCCCTGCCACACATTGCTGTGGCCCACATGGGGGTTCTGTGTGAGAGGTTTGGCCCAATTCTATCATTGGTGGGGTTCAGAATGCTCTGTAATTGTAGGTGAACTATAAATCCAGCCCAGTGACAGCAACCAATGCTATGCATCCCAAGGTGTGAACTCACCTGTCATGAATGCAGCTGCAGGACGCAGGCAGGTCGTATGGAGAACTCCCCGTGGAGCACGAGAGACATGAGGATCCCTGGCTGCACGGGTCCAGTTGCCATGACAAGAAGCTGGCGCCAAAGCCCTGCATTTCCGATTTGTCCCCAGGATCTGGGATGAGAGGAGAGAAGGAGAAACATTACGAGGACACCCAAAGACTTCTGGTCCTTCGTTGTGTGAGTGTCGAGCATGCTTCCATTTGGCTGCAATTTGAAAGGAGGCATCACTTCAATTTCTCTGCGCTTTCCTCCAGCTTCTCAGCCCTCGATTCCAATTTCTCTCACTTCTGTTTCACCTGAGTTAACTTTTCCAAAAAGATACATATATCTTTCAGACCAGCAGAGAGATCCTTTCTCACCATCCTCAATTTGTCATCAGCCTCAATTTGGCAACTACTGGATGGCATTACGTTCTGTATCCTTTCTCATCATCCTCCCACCTAAAGCATGAGAAATACACCTTGCACTATAACACCCAGCCTGGAAATTGGGGGATTCTAGTTTTACTCCTGTCTACGAGGGGCCTTCATGAAAGATTTCCCCTGACCCACTTCTTCCTGAAATGAACAACAAAAGAGAAATATACCCTTTTTCTGTAGAAAAGGAGCAACACGGAAGAAAATGTTTTAAAAACAAGAGGCATCATGTAGAGGTCATACAAAATTCAAGCTTACACAGGAAGGTGGGTTGTGGTTAAGTACAAAGGTTGTAGTTAAGCACAGAGCCTGCAGGTACAAGAAGGTACTTTCCATCAAAACTGAGAGCAATGCAACTTGGCCCAGTTCTGAGTCCTTCTCTCCGTGGGTGCCATCTCGGGACACACACTTCTCCCATCTTTTCAAGTAAGCAACTTGCTTGTAGAAGTCAACAGGTTGCTCCAAAGGCCACGTTGTGACTTCGGAAATCAGAGTCTCCTCACCTGAGAAATGCTTGCCCTTCAAAAATACCTTCCTTGTTGGAAAGAAATGGAAGTCTGATGGTGTGAGGTTGGATGAATAAGGGAGATGTGGTTGAATTTCCAAGCATGCTTCTGAAAGGGTCTTTGAGCGAAATTTGCAAATGCTAAGCAAGGGGCTTTGAATGAAATTAACAACAAAAGAGAAATATACCCTTTCTCTGTAGAAAAGGAGCAACATGGAAGAAAATGTTTTAAAAACAAGAGGCATCATGTAGAGGTCATACAAAGTTCAAGCTTACATAGGAAGTTGGGTTGTGGTTAAGTGCAAAGGTTGTGGTTAAGCACAGAGTCTGCAGGTACAAGACCCGTGCCCAACTCTTGGCAGGCAAGGTCATACTCACATTATTTTGGGACCAGCACGGAGTAGGATTGATGGATTTCCTAGCAAAGGGGACCAGTTACACTGGGGCAGTTACATAGGAAGTTGGGTTGTGGTTAAGTGCAAAGGTTATGGTTAAGCACAGAGTCTGCAGGTACAAGAATGTACTTTCCATCAAAAGGTCAGGGGAGGGAGGCAGGAAAGAGAGTACTTTCCATGACCAAAAAAAACCTTGTATTGCTTGAGTATAAAGGTCAGCAGAAACAAAGGAGGGTGCAGCAGTCAGTGAAAGCACAAACAGAAGTGCTGTCTGTTCGTCTCATGCTGATCAGCTTGAATAAATGGTGTCTTACATGAACCAATTGGACTCTGTGGATTTCTTCGAAAAGGGACCCCGCACCCTAAACCCATGATCCCTTACACTTCCATTTGGGCAACAGGTGAGTTGTGAATGGGGGCATTGTCTTGCAGAAGGCAGACACCTTTGGTGAGCATGCCACATTGTCTCTTGGCTTGGATGGCCTCCTGCCATTTCCACAGCAGTGAAGAATCACATGCCCCAAAGATCATGGTCCCCTTTGCAAGGAAATCCATCAATCCTACTCCGTTTTGGTCCCAAAATAATGTGTGACCTTGTCTGCTGAGAGTTGGGTATGGGCCTTCTTTGGAGGCGGTGAGTCAGGCTTCCATGACATCGACTGGACTTGAGTCTCCGGATCAGAGTGATGGACCCAGCTTTCACCCTGAGTGATCAGTCCTCCTAGTTTCCATGTCACATCATTGTCAAGAGAGCTGGAGAGCATTCGACTCATTCCTGCTTCTGGAAAGGTGTGAGCAGCCGGGGGACCCAGCGAGCGGAGACCTTATGCAGGTGAAGATGGTCTTGGGTGGTTTTTTTCCACGGACCCCACAGTCATCTTGACATTTTGGGCTCGGTGGTGAATGGTTACACTGTGATTTTCCAAAATGGCGACTTCCACTTGCTGGATGGTGTGTTCCTCAATAGCAGAGTGGGCTCGCCCTGGAATTGGAGCTCTTTCCACTAAAGTCTGACCACACTGGAATTGACAATGCCGGTTCTTGACTCCATGATATTGTAGGGGTTCAGCCGGTGATTATCTCTTTGCCACAGTGGAATGATCATGATCAAGACTCTTCAGAGGTTCCCATGTTTGACTTTAATGGGTTGGTGAATGTAGATGATGGCCTAGAAAATTAAGTTAGCCAGAGTGAAACTAAGCAGGATTCTGGGAAATATGTCTTGAGACAGTCTTGAGACAGTCTGATGAAACAGGCTGAGGACAAAAGTTCAAGATAAGATAGTGAGAGAGAAAGGAATGTGCTAATGAGCGAAATGGAGGAGGCTATCCTTGATCGCAGAGGGCAAATCTATCAGGATTGCCACCTGATAGAGGAGGCGTTCAGCAAGGTTAAGAGCAAAGGGGGGTTTGAGAGAGGTTTCCCAAGGGAATCAGAATGCTTTTGCCATGGCGTTTTGAATGAATATAGAGCCTGTGCATGCGCTTTAGTGAGTCCAACGTTGCTCCAGATTCATGTTCATGCTGAGATTTTGGTAAGTCTTGTATCCTGATTTCAAGCCACTGCCTTTGGTGTGGTTCAAGTGTGCTCCTGACTCTTCAAGGGACTTTGTTCTTGCAATCTTTTGGATTTAAGGACTATTTCCCATGGACTTGATCAATTGGACTGGAATTATCCTGCTCTTCTGATGTTAAGTTTACTTGGCTTATGGGTTATTTTTGGACATTTTATTATTTCCTTTTTGGTTGCCTTTTTCCTTTTGGCACTTGCTATATTAAACTTCAATAAACTGCTTGCTTATTAAAGAGCATTGGTATGTTTGTGGGTTCAAAAGTGCTCATCACAGCCTTGTTGTGCAACAGATATGATGGGGAATCCCCACCATCAAGCTCTTTCATTTCATCAAACGTCTCCTTTGGAGTGCGGACTTTCGAGTAAAGGAACTTGGTGATTGCTCTGTGTATATTCTCATACCTCACTCCACTTTGACACCTGTCACATCAAGACCGTTCTCAGTCCTGAGTTGTCAATTGGTGCATAACCTATAGAGACTGATATCATTACACACATGCAGTTTCAGCATCCTGTGATAAATAGAAGTGGGTCAAGGGAAATCTTTAATGAACGTATATCTTTCATGGCAGCAGAGAGATCCTTTCTCACCACCCTCAATTTGTCATCATCCTCAATTTGGAGACTACTATCCTTTCTCATCTTCCTCTCACCTAGAGCATGGAAAAATACATCTCGCACTATAACACCCAGCCTGGAAATTGGAGGATTCTAGTTTTAGTCCAAAGGTAAATGACTCCTGTATATTTCCCTATCTGCTCCTGTCGATCTCCCACCCAATTTCAACACGTTACTCCATTCCGACTGAGTAAATCATTCCAGAAAACTCTTGAAACAAGCAACGGGATGATGCCTTTCATAAATGACTGGCCTTCAGCTCATCCACAATGTCTATTAAGGCAAAAGATTTGGGCGGCAGAGGCAGTGAGACGCATGCAAGTAAAATGTGGGTTAGTTTTTTGATATATACACACACATTTTATGTATATATACACACACAGAGACTGTATATACTTGAGTATAAGCCTCGTTTTTCAGCCCCCTTTTTAGGCTGAAAAGGCTCCCCTCGGTTTATGCTCGAGTTGAGATTATTTATTATTTTACTCTATTATTAGTATTATTTTATTACCTTTATTATTTTACTCTATTTATTATTATTATTGCATTTATTATTTTTCTGTATTTATTATTGTTTATATTAGGTAAAGGTTTCCCCCTGACATTACGTCCAGTCGTGTCCGATTCTGTGGTGTGGTGCTGATCTCCATTTCTAAGCCAAAGAGCCGGCGTTGTCCATAGACACCTCCAAGGTCATGCGGCCAGCATGACTGCATGGGGCGTCGTTACCTTCCCGCTGGAGCGGTACCTATTGATCTACTCACATTTGCATGTTTTCGAACTGCTAGGTTGGCAGAAGCTGGGGCTAACAGCGGAAGCTTAAACTGCTCCCTGGATTTATTATTATTATTATTATTATTATTATTATTATTATTATTATTATTCGAAACTGCGACCTTTCGGTCAACAAGTTTAGCAGCTCAGTGGTTTAACCCACTGTGTTTATATTACATTTATTATTTTTCTCTATTTATTATTATTATTAATTATTATTATTATTATTATTATTATTACATATAATATTTTGCTCTCTTCATTATTATTGGAAGGATAGATGAGCACATTTACATGGAAGAAGGTGAGAATCATGGTTTAATCAGAATTGGACAGTCTTATCTTAAATTACAGTTTTATGTAAATATCCAAAAACATTTAATAATAATAATAATAATAATAATAATAATATAATAATAATAATAATAATAATAATAATAATAATAATAATAATAACTTTATTTATATACCTCTCCATCTCCCGGAGGGGACTCAGAGCGGTTCCCAGGTAACATCACAAAACATACAAAGTAAAAAACAACATAATCATAAGATTAACAAAATTTAACCTACTGAAGCTTCAATTAATGTAATTTTATTGGTATCTATTTTTATTTTGCATTATACTCGAGTCAATACGTTTTCCCATTTTTTTGTGGTAAAATTAGATGCCTCGGCTTATATTTGGGTCGGCTTATACTCGAGTATATACAGTATATATATATATATATATATATATATATATATATATATAAAACGGTGTGCAGTGTTTTCCAATTTTGGTGGGAAGGAGAGGACTACTTTTTCAAAATTACCATCCAAAGCATGCACT